TCATTAATCATAGATAAAATCGAGCTTGTTAATGATACATGTACTGTACCAAAGGAAGATGCTACACTACATGCATGTATATGCGTATGTATGTATGTATATGTATATGTATATATACTTACAGAGAAAGAGAGAGAGCGTAGTTTTTCAAACGTATTCAAAATGGGGGAAATTAGGAAGTTTGGAATGCATATAACATATAAAACACACACGATTATTTTTACAGGCTTCCGATGCCACAGGACAATATCAAGATCAAAATCCAATAACACTAACATTTTCATTATGTCAATGTATACTAAAGTCATTTCAAATCATATCAAAGCAACCGTACAAAAAAGGGGTACTTCCCTATAAATAGTACAATGAAAATAGCATAGAAGTATGTGGACAATTAAACTTTTTAGTCGAGCCATGAAATAGTACAAAATATGATAAGAGTCATTACATTATTTCGAAAAAAATAATGAAGAAATTATTTTTAATGTACATAAGAATATGTACAAAGTACTGACAGATTACTATTATGAATATCCTATTGCTTCGCTTTGTTGACAACTTACGATTGATCTCAGTTCCTTCCCTCCTGGTCGTCTTAAGCCGGGGAAAGGTCCCTTCGTCTCTGAAATCCTTACTTAAAATATCTTTATCAGGTTACGGTCTATGACATGGAAAAAAACTTTTAAATAGCAGTGGTCATGAAACGAATGATAACTTTACCTGCAACCGTGTACGCAATGTAGACTGTTTATATAAATATTGTTTATATAAATAAATGACATCCAAAAAAAACATAATAAATATGAACGTGATCACATTTCGGACAGAATCACAATGGTTAATATGCGTTTCACAAGACCGAGACTACATTTTGCACTGAATTCAGAGCTATGAAGATTTAAACCGATACGTTAGAAGATGAACGGGAGGGACTGGAAAAGGAAAAAAACACACTTTTTTTCCTATCCATGCATTTACCTATAATTTAGTTTTTATTACTGCTTTCACTTTTTGATGGGGCAATAACAGGTGCGCTGAAAGGTAGCACGAATAAAGGTCATAGCTAAGGGAAGGAGGTGCTTGCATGATGCTACCATGGTATATAAGAACATATGACTGAAGCATGAAGCATCATTCCCAAACTACTCGCTCAAGATGAAGCTCGTAAGTGAAGTGTTTCCCTTTTGCATTTGTGAAACGATACCTCGCCTCTATTCTGCGAGATTCTGTGGAACGGTTACCACAGTCATTTTCTGTTCGTTGCCGTGTTACTTAATTAATTCTGACTGGCGGGATGGTTAACTGAATTCCATCAAACTAAGTTCATCACTGAAATGCCAATGAGAAACTTGAAAAGCCTGATTAACTATTTCCTTACATATAATACGGTAGTAGTTCTTTTACAACTTTGTGGAAGCCTTGGATGAATATTTTGTTGAAATAGGTGAAGTCCGAATATAACTTAAATCATCGGCACGTTAATTTTATTCACACAGATCGTCATTGCCTGCGTGGCCGCCGTGGCTGTCGCCACTCCTCAGTATAGCTATGACGCTCCCCGATCTACGTCCAGCGAAGAGTTCGTTCCCATCCTCAAGGACGACCGCGTCCACGAGGAAGATGGAACTTTCAACTTCGACTTCGAAGCTGCCAACGGTATTCGCGTGTCCCAGGCTGGATCCCCCGACGGTGATGAGGACGCTGTGATCAAGACTGGAGAATACTCGTGAGTATTTGGAAATATTCATAAAGTCGTCTTCATCTTTGCCTTCAAAGTTCTTTATTACCTTAGTGACACGAATGAAGCAACTCAGCAATATATCGATATAAAGTTTATACATATGCGCACTGCCTCGTTAGCAGTTACATTTGTGTATGGATTACACGTGAGGACACACACACAAACATTCGTATGTCATTCAACCAGCCAGCCAAAGTTAAAGTACCTATTGCACATTATCACAAGTTTTCCTGTTTGACTCTAAATACTGTTTTACGAACAATATATTACAGCTACACTTCCCCTGATGGTACTCCTGTCCACGTCCGGTTCGTGGCTGACGAGAACGGCTTCCAGCCCCAGTCCGACGTCCTCCCCGTGGCCCCTGCTTTCCCCCACCCGATCCCTCAGTTCGTCCTCGACCAGATCGCAAAGGCCGCCGAGGAGGACCGCAACCGTCCCCGCAGCGATGACTCCGACGAAGTATCCGGATATTACGGTCGTCCCAACTAAATCTAAATGAGAGAGATGTATTTATTTAATCTATTGTTATAAAAGGAATTCAATATGATAATTTGTGTTATTTTTTCCATGCTTACTTATACAAATGTAGCGTGAAAACCTTTTCCTTTTAAGAGTGTTAGAGTACTTTTTAAAAGACGCTTCCCCGGTTTGATGGTATTATGTATGAACATGGATTTGGAAAAGTGATAACAGGAATACGTACTGAAAATAAAAATCACACACATATATGTGTCTGTGTGTTAATATATATCCATT